TTAAGATTGAAAGTGAAAAAAAATAAATAGCCAAGATAAGAAAGCCACTCTCTGTGCATGTAAAGGGTTTTACTTATTTTGCTCTGCACTTCATCACTAGTGATGTACTTCTAGTGCATCCCTTTGCACTTACCACATTCACCTTAAAAGATCAGTATGTCCTGAGTTGTCCAATGGTTTGGTTCCAGAAAGTTTCAAGGTTTCCAGAACAAGGACATATGAAAAAGACCTGGCAGTCTTGTGGAGCTGGGCTTTCTTCAGGGAAGCCATCCCCCTCCTGTTATATCCCAGAGCTTGGGCTGTCTATGGTGCAACCTCTGGTGCCATGAGACTGCAGAAAATAAGTTGTGAGCTTGTGAGGTTAGCTGTCATGAACAATGATTAATGAAAGCTAATGAAAATGTTTTGCTAGTTGCAGGGTCAGCTGCTTCCAAACAGAATATATAGAAGCAGTGCCCTCACAAGAGGAGAGAGGGTTGGAAGGGGCAACTGTTGGATAGAAGAAAAATATTTTAACTTAAACTAATTTTGAAGAGAGGTAGAAGCTGCTTAATGGATCAAAAACTTACTAGAAGTGGAATGGATGCAGTATAGTATCATAGCTGTTTTTACTTAAGAAATCCAGAAAACAGTAATACCCAGCAATTTAGTTATAAGCAGAAAATGTCTTGTTTACTTTCCTCCAAAAATTCTGTGTCAATTTAATCCATTAGTTGTTGTAATTTATATCTGAAAATATTATAGAGCTTTTCCTGCTGGCATTGAAGAATATGCCATACGTGTTATGGGGGTTGGAAAGAAGACTAAACTAACTTTACATTAAAACTAAACCTGAGGAAACTTACACTTAGAACTACCTAACATGAAGATTTTTAAGAAGTGGCAAAAGTTCTCCAAGTCAGTATTTATGTCCATTTAGAGAATACTTAAGCAATGGATGAAGAGCATTCACTCTATTTATAATTCCAGAAAGTACTATTAGTTTCTTGTTACTCTTGATAACATAATTAGTTTCAGGCTACAGAAAAAGAGAATTACAGAAATAGCTCCTATTATGTAATCGGAGGAAAGAGGGAAAATAAGCTCTATAAAATTGCAAACTGTAAATAATTTGAGAAGACTTGGAGGAAAAGAAAGTTTTACCATGCTTCTAACATAAATCTGTATTTATTGAATAAGGACATGGACATACAAACTCAAGCATTCCATTAACCCAGATAAGCAAAAATAGAGTGTTTTCTTTGCTGTTTTTTTTTTTCCCTCCTTTTTGAGGGAGAGGGAGGATGGAGGGCGGGAAGGGAATACTGCATCTGCTATTTATTTATACTAAGAGTGCACTTATGAAGCTGTTGGGTACGTATCAGGGCAAAAACAAGTAAGCATGGAGTTTCAGCATTGTCACCTTGATGTCATTTTAGTGCTATTTTAAATTACACTAAGAATTGTTTTACAGTTGAGAGTTTTAGCCAAATACACCAACTGTTTAATTTTGTTAATGAGTTTCTCATTGTTTAAAAAGATTGGTTGTAATTTAAACAGATGTATTAGGATCTTATGGGTATGCTTTTCAGTCAGCTGAAGACTATGCTCTGTAATTAGACAACATGTTTCTTCAATAACTGTCTAGAGGAAAGATGCACTGTTTGTCTAATAGAGCCCTAACCTAATTGTCTGTGAATGCAAAAAATGTATGTTAGACAGAACCATTATACACAGGATGAGATGTGAATAGTGCTAAGTACTGTAGCTAAATTCCTTGGAAACGAAATACTGGGGTGAATGTGCAGTAAACATAAACCCTATTCATACTGGAGCAACCAAATGTGCGAACTAGACCAGTATTTATATACTTTTTATTAAGCACAAACCAGTATTGTTTTAACAACGCTTTTAGTTTTCCAGTGTAGTTAATTGATATGCAAGCCTATAGTTCAAATTAGCATGCTGCTTTGACTAATGGCTGGAGGCCATTTCATTCCTTGGAATTCCCTGTTTTGTCTTAAGATTTTGACAGGCATCATTGTCCTCGTTGCTGACTGCCATAAGGTTTAGGTGAGAAGTGGGAAACATTCAAATGTCTCAAGCTATAATGTTGCTCTTCTAACTGCCATCTAGTAACATGAATATTTCCAGTGCATGCCAATACTGCCGATCTGAACTCAAGAGCCTTCAAGCATATTTATTCTGTTTGTTTCTGTGTGTTATATGGAATTATTTTTACTGAGACCATTCTGGATGACATAAGGGAAATAGTATTGTGGCATTTTTTAATTTATAAATTTGGGGAGAATTTTAAAGAGCCGTCAGCCAGGTAGCTCTTAATGTTAGAATGCATGGTCTTAAATTTCTAAAGATATGTGAAAGGAAAGCTGGCTCTGGAGGGTTTTGCTGAACACAATACCTCCATAGCACTTCAGGTGATGTGATAGTGTTCCACAAATAGCTGTAGGCAGTACCTGGAGAAGAAGAAGAAAAAAGTATAATTATTTAAGAACATAAACTATTCTAATAAGGTGTATAAAATCCAAGCATATCTAATGAAGGCCACCATTTCCACTAACTGTCTAAAGCCAGAGTGGCATCCTAGGGCCTCTTGTTTTCTGCATTTGCAGTTGAAATCGTAGGAAGGTAGTTGTCTTTTCACCATCATGCAGATAAAGACTGAAAGGCAACATCCCTAGCTTATTTTTATAAAATGAATTAGGCTCATGGGATCTACATGGAGCCAGTTAAGTCATTTTGAAAAATTCCAGAAGATGACTTCTAGATTCCAGGGGCCTAGTTTAACCAAAAGAGTTGCAACCCACCTGCATTATTAACTGCATTTTAGAAATACTACATTAACCTATTAAGCTATGTGTGAAAAGGATCCCAAGAAATGTATGACACTCTTACAGCAGCTTTTGATTACAAGTTCTATAAATTTAGCTGGGCTATAAGAATTATTTCAGATGCAAAATTTAAAGCAATTCACTAAAATTCCAGGTTAAACATTGTAAACATTTTTTAGTATGCGTTCTTGTTGTTTTAAAGTGATTTTATGAGTAATTCAAAGCACTATTCAGAGGAATCCTTAGGCATATATAACTAAGCTGTGTAATTGGCCACCACATAAAAAGTCCAACAAAGAACTTTGTGTTATATATTACCCGTATTGATTGACTAATAACACACTTCATGAGTATGAGGCTCCTGCCAGCGCTGAGGGTGAGGGAAACGGGGCAGTGTGCCATTCCGCCACTTTTGCGCAGCAAAGTACCCCTCAGCTTGCTACCTTTGGGGGAAGCAGCTGCAGGAGTTCATGGGAACTGTGCTCTGGCCATGCGATGTTGAGCGCAGCTGTCTCTCCCCAAGGACAGATCAAATTAATCAGTTGATAGGGAATAGCTTGCTTGGCCAAGAGGCAGCTGCTGTTGGATCCAGCACCAGCAGTTCCTAGACCTGCAGGAGTCTGGAGATGCTGCTTCTGAGAGGTGGCAGGATTTGGTTTTGTTCAGAATTTGAGAGTTCCCTGGTTTCGAAGTCACAAAAGCTTGTGCCTACTGTGAAGACCAGAGGCCCCTGCCAGTGAGGAACACCATTCAGTCCATTGCAATTTGCCCTAGAGCAGACAACAGTTTATCTAGCTAAACTAAAACAACAAAGAGCTGAAAAGCATGTGATTGTTGTTGTTGTTTTGCTTATTTTTTAGGAAAAAAAAAAAAGAAAAATGGTTCTTAGATCTTCAAAAGATATAGGAAGAAAGGACCTGCAGCAGCCCTACACAGATCCCACCTAGTTCTCTGCTAGGAGAAGGGAACTGCGATATAGCATCCCTTCATATGTGTGAAGTATTTATACTTAATTAAATAGTCCTACATAGCAAAGCCATCTGGATTGAGCAGTTGGAAAAATGAGGTATTGAAATAGGAATTCACCAGCAATACAGAATCCCAGAATGAAGAGTGAATTTATTCCATTTGCTTTGCCTTTTTTGGAGTTAAAATAAATAGAAGCTGAAAAATCAGGGTAACTGCGTAAAGAGAAAATAAAGCATTTCCAATAAGCACTTGTCTAATGTTATGTGTTTAATGTTAAGCTATTACATTCACAACAATACCTGATGTTCTAAGTTGGGGAACACTAAGTAAAAAATATTAAAGCTACAGCTTGTGAAGCTGAATCAATTTCACATTGAGAAAGGAACTTTAGTCTCAGATTGGGACTAGTCATTAGAAACTAGGAATTGCAAAGTCAAGTTCACCCATATTTCCTCTAAAAATTTCAGTGAACCTACTGGGGAAAAAAAAAAAAAAAAAAAAGAAAAGAAAAAAGACCACAGAGGTTACTACTCTATTGTTAATTGGAGCAAAGATGTGGCACTTGCAGAAAAAGAGCTCAGCTGACTCGTCCAAAGTTTGCATGAGGTTTTGAAGATAACAGCCATCTTTAAGTGAGCACCTGCTCTTATGATGTTTACACTTGTAGAAAATAGAAGAAGTAGTTTCATGTAAGCAATAGTAGTTGCTTATAGTTTGATACTAGAGAGCATTTTGGCCACACAAAACTCACACTTCAGTAAAGTAAGATAATCCCATGAGATGAATTAAAATATCACTAAAGTTTTGTGAAAGTTTTGCAAATAGCCAGATACAGTAGAGGATTCTTAAGAACCGCTCCTGTTTATAACCCGCAGGCAGAGTAGGTAGCTTTCAAACGTTGATTCTTCTTTATCTATTTTTCTAGCATTTCTTATATAATTCGCAGCCTGAAGAAAGCGTATTTCTATCAAAGAATATTATAAATTTTCACAAACAAAATGAAGATTTTAGAATTATGGTCTTTCTACAGTTTAGGGAGGTTTTGTTGCGTATGTTCCTACAGATTTGCCAAGTTTTGTCTATAGTCTTTGTAAAGCAATATGCTAAGGATCCTTTTGAGTATTTCTGGTCATTTGGTCTTGGCTGCTGCTGCTTTAGTTGTCAAGTATTCTTTCCCTTCACCACTGCCATATTCTAGCGATGCAGCTTGCAGCTACATTTGCTCTTAACAGAGCAGAAACATCTGTTTTCTGTAACTCTGAGCCTGCTGCTAATGGGTTTCCACAACCTGGCCTTGGAACAGGTGCCTGGGAGCACAGTTGTAAGGTGACCATTGTGCTTGCTATTTCTTTACCCTTCTTGGGATGGATTCAGGAGGGAAAAGCTCAAATTCATTCTTGCACCATTGTGGGCAAAAAAATAGCTGTTTGGATTGTTGGCTCATTGGTGTTGTAGGATGTTTTCTGCCTTTGATGGGTATTATCAAAGGTACCATTTATTTTCTCTAGTTAATGCAGTGAGGGAGACTTTTTACTGCGAAAGGTAATTTTTTTCTCCTTTTCTTCTTTAGTCTGCCATCTTCAACTTTCAGAGCCTACTGACTGTAATCTTGCTGCTAATATGTACCTGTGCCTATATCAGATCTTTGGCTCCCAGCATACTGGACAAAAATAAAACTGGGTATGTTGTCTGATACTTTTAATATACATGAAATGTTTGGTGTCAATTACAGTGTTCTGTTACCTTTTAAAAATGTGTGATATTACACACATTTATAATCCTTTATGTAGGACTATCCTAAGATTTGAAAAATTTTAGTCAATTATGTTGTATTTCTCTCACCTTCAGAGACAAAATCTTCCTTTTTGCCTTCTTAAAAAAGTTAAAGCACTTACAATTAAGTGTAAGTGCACGATTGTGCAATTTTACAATAAGGACTTTTTAAACAACAAATGTCAGCTAATGTTGCCTTACTAGGACTTTTTTCTACAGACTTGCAACATACTTTCCTCATTAGATTCGTCTTTGAAGATTCAGAATATGTATCAAAAAGGAAACAATTTTTCTCTACATACAGCTCTGACTGCAGTTATTCTTGATTCTTAAAGTTGAAGTATGAAAGATTAACAATTGAGGCCATTTTATTCTACTTGTTTTGGATACACAAGTTTGAAACAGGATTTCAACAATAATCTACAACTAAAAAAAACAATGTGTAAATATTTCCTAAAACATGCAACACTATCCTTATTTCTATAGCCTTTTGTGAAATCATTGTTGTGCATTCTGCAAGATTCAAGAATTTGTAAAAAAGACTTTAAAAGCTTCTTTTCACTGCAACTCTCACTTTTATTCTTACTTTTATTCCAATTTTCTTAGGAGACTGACCTTTTTCTCCTCTACATTCCCAGTTCTTTTGGAATATGGTTAATGTAAACTGAAACAGTCCTATAAAACAGCCAACTGAATCTTCGTAAACTTGCTCAGTAGCAGAATTTTGGGAATTTTGGTAAATGAGGAGATTTACAGGACCACATCTGTATCTTCCTTATCTTTTAAAACTCATTCACCTCTTAGCTTATCAATTTTCTTTGTGCTAATAAGAATATTATTTGGCCTTGAATCCAAGGAGCAGGAGGCAGGGCTAGTTTAAATGCGTTGTTTTTAAAGCAATGATTGGGCAATTTTGACCTAGAAGTCACTGAGGCCATTCATAGTGGTTTACTCACATGACATTAATGTAAAGGAAGTGATATTTATAAAAACAAGGGGTAATTTAAAGCTAGAAAAGACTAATCATTACAGTTAGAAAAGACCTTCAAGATCATCAAGTCTAACCACAAACCCTTCAACACCCTGCCACATGTCCCTAAGTCCTTATCTGCACATTTATTGAACACTACCAGGGATGGTGCCTCCACCACTCCTACATTTGCATTTCAGAAAAAGTTTTAAATCAATCCCTGTTCTGCCAAGGATTTCTGAAGATTTGTCTTCTAAAAAAATCTTCATATAATTTTTGAAATTGCCTTTTATCACTCATTCTTTTTAGCATGGAGTTTACAATCTAAATATTCATGATGTGCTAGTTTTTTTCATTTGGAGTACTGACATGAAAATTTTTGTGTCCTTTTTTCATAAGGCCATAGGGTTACCATTGACATGAAAGATTTATTTTGATCATGGTAAAGACAGAAAGAAGGAATGACTTCATTAAGGAAGAGGGTTTCTGGAGTTTTGTTTCTGGGTTTTTTGGTTAATGGAACATAGCATGATGGTCAAGGAGGAATACATAGTGAGGAATATTTAAATAAAGAATATTTATTTTACTGATTAAAATTTTAGTGCTGTTTTTGACAAGAAATATTTCCTTTAATCTGGAGCTACTCTGTTTATTTTTGAGGCAAATCTGTCTCAAGTACAATAGAACTTCTCTTCATAAAATGTTTTCAAAGGGTGCTGACACAGGGCAGGCATTGGGCATTTGAGCTGTATGCTTGTACTTATATAGATGTTGGACATATTTTTATTTTTTAAATATAGATTTCTTTATCCTGGAGAACAAAATGTAGTCATGGAAGCACTGAAGTTTGTTTGCTGGATGGTAGATTTTTTTATAGAAGTCATACACTGTTAAAACCCTATCCCTCTTCACTACCATATTCCATGCTTAAATGGAAATGTCTAGACATACTGGATAAAGTAAATTCTAGTGATATTTCATCTCGCCACAAAGAAGATATTACTTGATTATTCCTGCTCCAAACTAATAGCATAAAAAGTAGCAATACAATATTTAAGTAACAAAAAGGAGATATGTTAGAGTTATTAGTTACTTTTCTAAGTAAGCAGTACACTTGGTAAACTTAAATGTGTTGAGATATTAAGAAACTTGTTTCTGTTGGTTGAGAAGCTGTGTTGCAAAATGATGTCACACATCCACATAGCAGTATATTTCACCCCAAGGACTTCTGCCAAAATGTTATGTATTTTTCTACCAAGCCAAACAGATTTTTAAAACTTCATTTTCCCTGAAGGCCTGAAGCGTCCTGAGTGTTACCATGTGCTTTGTCCTGAGCAACAGCCTTTAAGCAGAGCAGAAGGAGATTTACAGTTTCATACTACCACTCGATGAGAACACATACCACAACATAGCTGTCTCCTTGCCGCTAACCAGAAAGCTGGGTTGGCTCACGTGCAGCAGAGAACTGCTTAAGCACTGCAACAATCTAGCAACAGAGTCTAGCTCATACTTCCTAGGGAAACTGCAGTGGGATTGACCTGATAATCACACAGCAGCTCTGTTTTGCAGCATTCTGAGACTTGCATGCAAAGATTAAAATCTTGTTAATCCTTCTGTGCGTTAATGGATCCCCTCCACCACTTTTTTTAGATGTATTTTTCCCTCCAGGTAACCAATGCCACGTGCACAATCGTCACTTCTAAGTAAGTTCTGAAGACTGGGATCTTCAGAATGGCAAGTTGCACATGTTTTGAGTCGTGCCAGAAAGTTACAGGTTTGAAAGTCAGACTGACACGATCCCCCTGCATCAGAAGAACAAGAATGAAATATAAAGGGGAGAATAAGGAACAGCTGGTTTACTCATATAGGCCATTCTACCCATGTGAGCTTACAGATGCACCCACAAGTTGTTCATAGCTGTTTTGAAGCTCCAGATCTCAATTTGTTATTTTTTGCTCAGCTAGCAATTTCCACAAACAGATCTACCAGTCTATTTCAATGGCATATAAAAACCTTTTAAGAAGGTTTACCTTTTTCTTGCTACTCTTTATGTGGTTAGGAGTTGGCTGGCTTGTCAGACCTCATGTTGTCATGACTTTAAAATCCTAAGGTGATTGCAATAAGGGCAGCTAATGAAACCACATTGCCACTATTTTGTGAGGATCTCACCTTCCTCTTCAAAAGGGGAAAAGCAAGATTTCCACAAAGACTAATTAGTTAGTTGATTTAATGACATCAGCAAAGACCTCTTGCTTTCTGATTCCTAAACTTACAGAGTTTGGAGACCCTCTACCATGGCTGATGAAGCAAATTGTCTTTTATGAAGTGATAAAGGCCTAGGATTTGTTTTTTAAATGCCACCTAAGCAGCTTCAAGGTAACAGGAGAATGCCCTTTTAGAAGATTTTAGAGGGATAGGAACAAAGTGTAATATGACAGTGAAGAGAAAAAAGAAAAAGAAAAAACCTACACCCACCAAAATGGCAAAGGAAAAGCCTTGCTGGGGCTGTGAGGCAAAGTGTATGTGAATACCATGTGCGTAGAACTATGGAGCTATGTATTTTGTTCTTTGAGATTTGTACATAATGCCCTTTTACTTGCATGCAACTTCTAAAAGCATAGATGTCCTTAGGTTATTTCACTGTAAAAGCCTCTCAGCCTGTAAAAGTGTGATTGTCTAGCTGCAGTAATCATTGTGGAGCTATATAAAAGCTATATAGTCTTTTGACTGTATAGAAATAATTTGAGTTTGAGCTCAAAAGATCAAAAACTTAGGAACTTTTTTTTTTCTAATAAATGCAAATGCTACAACACTTTTGGCATTAATTGGTCACCTAGAAATATTTTGGACAAAAAATATTTTACTTTCATTTCAGAAACTCTCAGTCACCAGCTGCCTCTTGGAACTCTTGGTTCTGACCTGCCGAACACCCATTTCCTTTTTTTTTCAGAAACAAAAGTTGAGAGATGAGAATGTAGCTTGCAAAAACTGCTGATCTTGCTCTTCTCAGC